GCGGATGCTGTGGCTCTGCAGATGCCACTGACAGCACTTTGAAGGATTGGTTTGGCCAGAGACCCAGTCCCCAGCCTGCCTCCTGTATGACTCATTCTAGCTGCATATTTTGGTAGCATGAGGGCTCGAGATGAGATAAAAGGAGCACTTCTTAAGAGTGGAAGCTCCTCGGTTCTTGATTAGCACTTGAGAAATATAATGTTCTCTGCAGGTCCTAGAGGCCTTAAAAACATTTAGGTGTATTTCACATTATATAAAATTAGCCATTTTAAAGTGAACAGTTCAGTGGATTTAATATCATCATGATGTTGTGCCACTATGATTTCCAAAACATTTCCATTGCTCTGAAATGAAACTCCTTACCCATTAAGCAGTGATTCCCTCCTCTGCAATCTGCCAGCCCCTGGTAACCACTCATCTGCTTTCTGTCCCTATGGATTTACCTATTCGAGACATTTCATATAAATGGTATCATGCAATATGTGATCTTTTGTATCTGGCTTCTTTCACTTAGCATATTGTTTGTGAGGTTCATCCACATTGTAGCATATATCATCAGTGTGTCCTAGAGTCTTAATGACCATCCCAAATCCCCATAAAATGGTATATCTTTCTAGTTACCGTCATTTAGTTCCAGCTCCTGCTGGGAGGCAGGGGAATCAGCTAGATTCATTGTTTCCCAAAGAAGCTGCCTTAGAAATACCTGGGGTTGGGGTGTGTCTTCTTTTCTTTTCTTTTTTTTTTTTTTTTTTTGAGACGGAGTCTTTCTCTGTCACCCAGGCTGGAGTGCAGTGGCACGATCTCGGCTCACTGCAACCTCCGCCTCCCAGATTCAAGCAATTCTCCTGCCTCAGCCTCCCGAGTAGCTGGGACTACAGGCCCTTGCCACCATGCCTGGCTAATTTTTTGTATGTTTAGTAGAGACGGGGTTTTGCTGTGTTAGCCAGGATGGTCTCCATCACCTGACCTCGTGATCCACCTGCCTTGGCCTCCCAGAGTGCTGGGATTACAGGCGTGAGCCGCCACACCCGGCTGGGTGTGTCTTTTAAAAAAGATTGATTCCTGGGCTCCAGGCAGAGGGCGACAGAGCCGGTAGGCGTGGAGTGGGGCCTCTCAGGTGATTCTGACCTTTGTTGGGGCATGGGACCCCCCTAGGCCAGGTGATCTTGGGGGGGTGGGGTGGGGGGAGTTATCTTGACTCTTAATGACCTGCCAATGAGCCAGATGCTGTTTGTTGTTTATGATGCAGTTTGTGTGTTCAGAGGTTTCTGTGGCCTGTAATTTTTCTCTGTTTGCTTTCTGAGGGGAGGCACTCAGCCCCTCCCTGCTGCCTTAACAGTTCCAATTAATTGCGTCTCATTTATCAAGCTCCAGCTATGCCCTGTGAGCTAGAGAGGGGAGAGGGAAGGTTGTTCACACCCCGGGGTTGTGGTTACAGCTGATTGCACGTCAAGGTTATGTTCCTGGGAAGGCCACCCTCCCGCCCACTCCCAGGCCAGTGTCTTCTGGGTGTGGGACCTGCGTGGGGGATTGGCAATGGAAAAAGGCTTGCGGAGGAGGAAAGGGGACATCACGGGGAGATCCTTGGGGATGGATGGAAAAGGAACCAAACAAACTGGAAGCCACTGGTTAAGTAAAGGGATCTAAGGACCTGTAGGTTGTTTTTGATTGCTGGGGGCTGCCCTGGGCTGCTGGTGTCTTGGCCACATGCCATGGAGAACCAGCCGGGAAAAGCCTGCTTTGATGACTTCTTTTCTTTCCCTTGTGGGTGAGGATGGGGGCACGGTGGAGACAGAGGAGGAAGGTGAGGCCGGAGGGCAGAATGCCTGTCTTGGTGATAATAAAATTTACTTCCCGCCAGCCTGCCTGCTGGCTCCCCTGTGCTGCGGGCATCATTCCTGATTCCTACCACTAGGTCTGCTGTGGGGGGATGGGCACCTGGGCTGCCTTGGGGATCAGCTGTGACTCACCAGGGAGTTATTCTCATGACCAGGATGTGCCTGACATCTCGCCAAGCGAAGGAGCTGAGCTGTTCCTGCGAGTGCCTGGTGGCCCTCGTACAAGTCATTTCTTGCCAGGGATTTTATCCCCCTACTGGGCTGCCCCTTTTCAGTCTGCTCTTACGAGTCAAAGGCACATCTAATAAAAAAGGCTTTTCTAGAACAAAAAAAGAGAAAGAAACAAAGAAAGAAACAAACAGGTGTTGTACCAGGCTTGCCTTCTAGAGGTTTTCTTTGTAGAAAAGCCCTTGGATGTTTTGAGGCTTGCCCTTGGTGCTCTTCTCACCTTTCACCGGCCTTGGAATTGGTGAGGAGGCCTCCTGTCCTCTGAGTAGATCGATTTCAGCAAGTTGTCTTCAGACCTTTTGCCCCCTCTGATCACGGAAAGCTTTGCAACCTACTCAAAGCATTATCTGAGTGTTACCTGCCAGAGGGAGCATTTTGACGTCATCTTTAAGGATGCCCAAGTTGAATATTTGAGGACTTTTTATCCCAGACCCCAGGGGAACATGGGTGATTTTTTTTCTAGGTTCCTAGTCCTTTATTTTATTGACATTTGCATAGTTTTCTATCCCCACTCTGGTTCAAGAGTGCAGATGTTTTGGGAGGGGAGGAAACCTTTACCTGGGTTTCCCAGGGCACCTGTGTTGTGAGTTTCTGATCTCCAGATGCATCCAGAGGATTGAGCTGGAGAGAGGAGGAAAAGCGAAGGCTTCAGTGACCGGAGGAGATTCCTTTAGCTGCTTTCTCTTTGTAGCATTCTGGGTTAAATACTTTATTTACTTCTATTTCTTATTTGCACTTCTCAGTTAGTGCTTGCCTGGACTTATCTATCTGGGAATGAGAAGAGACATTTTGGAAGGACGTATTTTCCTAGGTCCTTCTCTTTAAAGTAAGAGTTTAAAAGTAAAATTTTCAAATTTTTTCAAAAAGAGTTTGATCCTGGATCAAATTAAATGCAGGTATTTAAAACCCCAAGTAGCGTCGTTAAGGATTAGCTGCTGTGTCCTTCTGCCAGCCAAGTATGTGGTACAGGTGTTTCTCTTCTCCCTGATAACATCTGAGAGCACCTCTAGGAGTGGGTGGGGAAAGTTCGAGAGTGCTGGGGAGAGGAAGCTAGAGAAGGAGAAAGGAGCTGTGGGTTTTCTGCTGCAGAGCCTTGGTGAGAAGACAGCTTGGAGGGCAGGTTGGCCAAGGCTTGAACTGTCTTCAGTCTAAGCCTTACTCATGGGTGGGGTGGACTGTGTGGGCTGGAGTCCCAGAAGCTTGATTTCCTTCCATGTGTGCCTGAGACAGCTGAGGTTGAGGAGGCTGGTGGAATGGGCTTCTCTCAGACATCGCTCAGCAGGAGAGGCAGCCTGTGCTCCTGGTTTCAGGGTGTTGTCCTGCTTCTGAGTGTTGGACCCCCTCTCAGAATTTTTTTTTGAGACTGAGTCTCGCTCTGTCGCCCAGATTGGAGTGTGGTGGCTCGATCTCGGCTCACTGCAACCTCCGCCTCCTGGGCTCAAGCGATTCTTCTGCCTCAGCCTCCCGAGTAGCTGGGACTACAGGTGCCTGCCACCATGCCTGGCTAATTTTTGTATTTTTAGTAGAGACGGGGTTTCACCGTATTGGCCAGGTGAGTCTTGAACTCCTGACCTCAGGTGATCTGCCCACCTTGGCCTCCCAAAGTGCTGGGATTACAGCCGTGAGCCACTGAGCCTGACCAGCCCTCAGAATTATTGTTATTCCTGTCATGACTTCGCTTTCCACAGAGTGGGTGGAATGTATGGTTCAGGTGTTCAAATGCCAGTCCTCAGACAGGTGTCCAACAGCCAATGGTGAAGTAAGAAAATAAAAGCAATGTAGTTTTCCATACAGCGAAACAACCGTTCTTTATTCTGAGATGGCATCCTCCCTCAGTTTTCAGTGTTAATACATCTTTAAAAAAAAATGACAGCGACTCTAGATAGTGGTCAAATTGCCCTGTAAGGTGAGCTGCATAACAGACAAATCCCACAGGCTCAGCAGTGTGGCTGAGTTGAGGCTCCGGGTTATGAGAAGTTCAGGATGAATGCTACTGATTAGCGGAGATCTTTTCCTTGGGGATGCAGGCTCCTTCTGTCTTCGGCTCTGCCCTCCTCTGGGGCTTTGGAGTCCTCTGAATGCGGCCTGTGGGTGGGGAAAGAAAACAGGACTGGATGGGGACCAGGCTGATAGTGGCCCTGATGACTTCTCTCACATTCCACCTGCTGGAACTCAGTCCCAGGCCACACCTTCTGCCCCACAGCCTGGACCAGAGTCTGCAGTGTCCTCAGGAAGCAGAGGAAAGAGATTGACAGAATAGCTAGTCCTGTTTTTGTGACGTCCTTACTTGGCGGAATAGAAGTTGCCAACCAGTCCTCTGTTGGCCTTCCTCATTTTTATTTCATTGGTTTACAAAATCTGAAAGTCTGAGAACTAAAATATTTCCTTATTTGAGATACTTCAGAAGCGATTTTGAGAAGCTTCACAAGGCTACTTCTCTCATTTCTCATTACCAGCTGAAAGTGAATGACGGTACCACCGAGCCAGAGAAAACATAGTCTGAAAAGAAGTTTGAAAAGCATGTGGTCTTTCTGGCCCATGAATTTTTTCTGAGGAAGGGCAGTGTTTCCATGCTTTGGTTTAAAATCTTACCAGTGCATGTCATACATGGAGTAAGGATCAGAGTAACCCGAGATTGGTATCATAAAGGATGAAAATAATCAAAGGAATTGGTTATGCCAATGAGAGCCCAAGAAGCCTTTCTACAAAATCTGTTTACATCCAAAATAGCAGGGGACTCATATTTCTTTGTGGGGAAGCTGAGTGTGACAGAATATGCATGAGGTGGGAGGGGAAGAGGCCCCCTTGGCCCAAATGCTTTAGATGTCAGAATCTTAATCGTTTCTGCTTGACAAAGGAGGAAGGAGTCTTGATTTAGAATGTTTGTGGCCATCACTTATTATGGATCCTAATTCCTATATTGATTTCTTTCAGGTTAGTCTGAATGATTCCCACAATCAGATGGTGGTGCACTGGGCCGGAGAGAAAAGCAACGTGATCGTGGCCTTGGCCCGAGATAGCCTGGCGTTGACGAGGCCCAAGAGCAGTGATGTAAGTATTGTGTTGGCTCTGGGCACACCTTGGTGCCATCAGCATGCCCTTCTCTGATCCACTGGGATTATCATACCAGAAAAAGTAGTGGGTAATTGGAACATGGAAGGAATGAATTGTATGACAGAGAAGATAATCTAGAAAATGATATATCCCTTGTTTGCTGAACACAGGGAGGTGCAGTCAGTGTTGCAAACAGATCCATGCAATGTGTGATTACCTTTGGGAAGTAATAGCATATGGACTGGATTGTTGCATCTGCCCGAGAAAATACCAGAGTGCCTTCCTGGGCAGACCTGCCTGCCCACAGCTGAGCCAGATGGAATCAAATTGGCCTTTCCCATATGCTGGTTTCTTCTAACCCATTGTAGTGGGATGAGCTGTTGAAACTGATTCTCTAATATTCTTAATTTCTATAGCTGGGTATTTATGATGTTTAGTAGGTTAGGTACTTTGAAGACACAAGATGCCAAGGGTTACAAACTCAAAGGCCTATGGGAGGCCAGGCAGGTAAAGGATAGGAGTGAAACCCCTTCAAGTTTACAACACTCTTTTTTTTTTGGAGTTGGGATCTGACTCTGTTGCCCAGGTTGGGGTACAGTGGTGTGATCTTGGCTCACTGCAACCTTCGCCTCCTGGGCTCAAGCCATCCTCCCACCCATTCAGCCTCCCGAGTAGCAGGAACTACAGGTGCACACCAGCATGGCTGGCTAATTTTTGTACTTATATATATATTTTTTGGTAGGGTTGGGGTTTATGCCATGTTGCCTAGGCTGGTCTTGAACCCCTGGGCTCAAACGATCCGCCTGCCTCGGCCTCCCAAAGTGTTGAGACTACAGGTGTGAGCCACCATGCCTGGCCATAACAACTGTACCTCCTCAAAGAAATATGGTTTCTCCCATTTTTCTTGAAGTCTGTGGCCTTCTTGGACAATATATGTCATTTCTACTTTTGATGGAGATGCAGATTCAAGAAGCATTCTCCCGTATCTAAATTTGAACGTAGTAATGGATACTCGGTTCCCGTGTTGGAGAGACGTGGGGAAGGGGAAGGGCCTTTGAGGACCTGGAGAAGCGTGCTTCTGAGGAGCGTTGCTCATCAGCTGCAGGCTCTGGTTGCCGTGCAGAATGCAGGGCCCAGTGTTGCCAGATCTTCTGGTTTTCCAGAGGAACCCTGAGGTCTGGAGTTTCATGTGAAAACTGCTGAGTCTTACAAGTTGGCAGCCAGTGTATAGTTTCTACAAACACCGCGCGAGCCAAGTAAAACACACGTAAGGGCCAAAGCTGGCCCCACGGCTGGTCCCAGGTCTGCGGCCTGTGCTCCGGATTCCTCCTTGTGGGAAAAAAGGAGCAGACCCTGCCTCAACCTGGGATCCGATGCTGTGGCAGTGCGAGGCTGTGGATGGAACACCATGCTTTACAGCTTCGGTCACCCTGCATTCTGGCCGGGGGAACCTTCTGATGAATTTGCCAGCACTTTCACGTCAGCCTTAGGGATACATTTATAATTCTCAGATGCGGATTTGGTCTCTGCGAGGTGCCTCTCTGTGTATCCGCCGTCTGGGTTGGGTGTGTTGAGAAGCAGGCGATGGGAAGTTGTCTCAGGGGACTGTTTCCAGGGAGTTGAATGAGGGCAGCCACAGACAGGGGAGACCGAAGGGCTGGCTGTCAGGATGCCTGGCTCTGCCCAGGGTGGGTTCTGAGCCATGTGTGTGGGAGACCACCGCTGCTGAAGGCCAGTCTGGGTGTAGTGCTCTGGGGCAGGGCTAGACTTGTTTGGGGCAATGACTTTGGCCCGTTTATAAATGTGATTAGGTTTTGCAGGTTACAGCTGTGGCCACCACAGACAGCTGTGTCTGAATGCCTTTGGTGGCTGGGTGTGGTGGCCTGCTCCTGTAGCCCCAGCTACTCAGCAGGCTAAGGCGGGAGGATCCTTTGAGCCAAGGAGTTTGAAGCTGCGGTGACCTATCGTCGTGCTACTGTACTTCAGCCTGAGTGACAGCGAGACCCTCTCTCTAGAAAAAATAAAACAAAAAATAGAAAAGAAGGCCTTTGGGCCCATGAAACTCTTCATAGGCACCTGTGTGTGGTCACTACCCATGGGCATCCCTCCTGGGCACAGGAGATAGATGTACTGTGCTGTATTGTGTTGAGAAATCCTTCTTGGAATTTTTATGTATTTAAAAAAACTCTTAATCCAGACACCATTTTTTTGTGAGGTAGGCAAAGACCTTAAGCATTGTTTTACAGTTTTGCTGAACAAACAGGAGCCAACAGTTCTAAAGAGACTTGCATGAGGTCACTCAGCGTGTCAGTGGGAAAGTTGGGGCTGATGAGACTCAAGGCCCAGTCATGTGCTTAGTGTGCAAAGATGTGGTGTTAGTAAGGTGACCAACTTGTCTGGGTTTTAGCACTGAAAGCCCCACATCCTGGGATCCTCCCTTAGTTCTGAGTGAACCAGGATGGTTTGTCACCTGAGTATTGCCAGTCGATTGAAACCCAACTCTTGCTCTCTCTGTATATCTAGGTGTGTCTGACTAACAGCCCATTGAACATTTGAAGTGGGATACACTATTGTGGAATGAAATGGGAGATAGAGCCGAGGTAGACAGATCACCTGAGGTCGGGAGTTTGAGACCAGCCTGACCAACATGGAGAAACCCCATCTCTACTAAAAATGCAAAATTAGCTGGGCTTGGTGGTGCATGCCTGTAATTCCAGCTACTCGGGAGGCTGAGGCAGGAGAATCACCTGTACCTGGGAGGTGGAGGTTGCGGTGAGCTGAGATTGCGCCGTTGCACTCCAGCCTGAGCAAGAAGAGCAAAAACTCTGTCTCAAAGAAATGGGAGATAGATTAAATGGGAAGGAAACGCAATGGCCAGAGTTAATAAGTAGGGTTGGCAGAAATGGCCTTCCTCTGTATACAAACTGTGTTAAAGGATTGTCAGATGCAACTGAGATGCCTGATGTAAAAAGTTAATGTGAAAAGAATGATGACTCAGAGGCAGGAGTTGGGGTAATAACAATCCAAATTCTCTTTAAAGAAGACTGAGCTTGATTTGTAAGGTCCCATCAGCAGTCCAGAAGGGAAAGAACCTAAACAAATCAGGAACTGTGTGGGTGTTGGTGAGCAGCCAAGGTCATGCATATTCAGTATCTAAAAAGGAATGGCTCTGGAAGCTGGAATCCAGAAAGCCTTGCTCTTAAACAGGGGGGGGAAAAATGAATCATTTTCCACTGATGAAGTTGAAGCCAGTGTGGTTCCATGAAGAGAACGGCTCCTGCAGGACCCGTCTGTCCTGTGATAAATCGACAAAAGAAACAATACATGTTTATCTCAACTTTTCCTAACTCTTTGTTTCTGCTCTCTCATGATGTATTTTACAAAGTACTAGGTTTACAAAGTGCTCAGGTGCAACATAATTGGCTGAAGAGCTGTTCAGTGGTACAGTCCACCAGAAGATCAGAATCAACCAGGGGCTGGGTGAGGTGTGGCTCATGCCTGTAATCCTAGCACTTTGGAAGGCCGAGGTGGGTGGATCATTTGAGGCCAGGAGTTCGAGACCAGCCCGGCCAACATGGTGAAACCCCGACTCTACTAAAAATACAAAAAATTAGCCAGGCATGGTGGCACAAGCCTGTCATGCCAGCTACTCAGGAGGCTGAGGTAGGAGAATCACTTGAATCCGGGAGGTGGAGGTTGCAGTGAGCTGTGATTGTGCCACTGTACTCCAGGCTGGGTGACAGAGTGAGACCCTGTCTCAAAAACAAACAAACAAAAAAAACAAAAAGAGCAAAGAGTCAACCAGGGAATATATTGTGCATGACAGGACTCGCTGCCCTTGTCCCTAGAGCAGTGTGACATTATGATTGTGCCCCTCAGGATTGACTGGGAAACAGTGTCAGGTCTTGCTAACTAACAGCGGGAGGCCGATGTCTGGCTGAGCACAGGCTCTGAAATCAGAACACCTGGAATCCCGGCTGTGCCATTCATTAGCAATCTGACCTTGGGCCAGGTGATGTACCTTCTCTTGTCCTCCTCTGTCACTGAGATAGTGCTTGTTAAACCTTGCTACCCAAAGTGTGGTTGTGGTCTGTGGATCAGCCCTTGGGGATTTTCTGGGAGCTGGTTAGAAAAGAATCTCAGGTCGTGCCTGGACTTCTGGACTCAGAACCTGCACTTGTCCAGTGTCTTGC